CTCATATTGTTTAAAGATTTCTCGGGGCATTCACTGCGCCAACTGTTAGCCCGACAAGTCATAAACTGACCGATCAAATGGGTAAGTTCTATCAGGAACAGTAAAAGAATATTTTTTTAAAGTAGGGGTTTTACGGTCCTCGATACTTCTTCATCTTCTATCCCGTGGTTGGGGCAACCGTTGGGGCACCACTGCATTGGAAAACCAGCTCTCGCCATCTATTTTTGTCATCTGTTCTCCTCAGTTTGTCACCCATCGTCTTTCCTGTCCACTCTGTAATGTTGTCCTCCCATCTCCTTCTCTGCCTTCCTCTCTTTCTCTTTCCATGTACGGTTCCTTGCAGGACTGTTTTGGCAAGTCCTGTGGATCTTGTGACATGCCCATACCATTTTAGTTTTCGGTTCTTCACTGTGGTCAGTAGATCTTCATATTGCCCCACTGCGTTGGTGATTTTCTTTCGTACTTCAGCATTTTAAACGTGGTTTTTGTACGAGATGTCAAGGAGTCTGCGGTAACATATCACCCCGATACTACTTAATCTTATATCATAGGAGTACGTGGGACACATACACAATTTTTCAGTTGGTAGAACATTTTGAATTTTGCCCGCGTAGGGAACGAAGCCTACTCTAATCGATTATATGACCACAAAGGGATCTTTAATGAGCGTAACTTCTGAGATATTTCACCCTTATCCGAGAGGGCTAGGTGTTAGATCTTACCTACTATAAGATCAAGGGTGAGGATCAATGACTGTAGTGAGACAGAGCAGAGGAGTAGCAGTGGAAAGGCTGCAGAAAGAGTCAGGGGCCCAAGAGAAGGGCAAATGGGGAGGGCGCCGGGAAAAGAAAGGGGAGACGAAAGCAGACGACAGAACATTGTTAGAGAGCAGGAAAGGAGGTGAAAGGAGACAATTTTAGAGGAGAAAATTTTCCGTAGTTGTCCGGATTCAAACTCGGGACCTATAGAATGAGAGGCGAACACCGTAACCTTTTGAACACGAGAGTCCCTAGTTAAAGATTGAGGGTCCCTTTTGGACCAGTGAGGTTAACCATTTTTTTTCTTCAATTTTTAAATTCGGTTCTTCGCGTTGCCTCTTCTTTTCGCCAAATGTAGTCTTTTGAAGTACATGTATGTAAAACATTGCTATTCCGAAGACCTGCGGTGCATTTATCGCCTCTTACTCACCTCGGGGAAGTAGCTAGAAGTAG